AGGGGGGGAACACCATCCCGCGGCAGGCTCCGGAGGTCCATGGGACCCCCGGAGACCCGCGGGACCCCTGGAGACCCGTGGGAACCCTAGAGACCCGTGGGACCCCCAGAGACCTGTTGGACCCCTTGAACCCCGTGGGACCCCCAGAGACCCGTGGGACTCCCGGAGACCCATGGGACACCCGGAGACCCGCGGGCCTCCTCGCACCGGCGCGGAAGGGACGTGCTGCCATCTCACCACTTGGTCCAGGCACAGCTCCTCAGTGTTGGGCTCCCGCCCCACGGCCCACAGCAGGCAGTCAACGTCCCGGATCACTCCCTCCGTTGGCTTGCGGCCAGGCACCGAGGAGGACACCGTCACATCCAGCAGCCCGCAGGGGGACTTTGTGACCGTCTTGACCTGCGGGGAGCAACAGGAGCCTCAGGGGGAGAAGGCGCCGACGGCTTTTGCCTCGCAACAGGCGACGGCGGCCGCACCGCAGAACCAGGGATGCCGCCAAAGCCACGGCCCATCAAGCGGCGCCCAAAACGCCGGCTTTCCCCCTGGCCCTGCCTCTCCAGAAGGGAGGGGACCAGCCGCAGGGCTGCTCTGCACCCCTGTACCTGCGTGTGCTTCCAGACATCCACCCCGGTGTTCTCCAGCTCCTGGGTGCAGTTCGAGCTGATCACTGAGTCGAAGGTCCTCAGGACCTGGGCAGGGACCCGCCAGCGTCATCAGACGAGGGTCTGCAGGGGAAGGCACCGCCTGGCAGCCCCCTCCACCGGCATTTCCCTGCGCCCGCGCCCCATCCAGGCCCAGAGAGGTTTGGGGCGCTTCTGGTTAATGACAAAGTTCTCCTCTGCTCGTTTTTTCCTTTTTTGTTTTTCTTTTTTCAAGTTGTGACTTGAAATCAAGCTCAAGGAAACGGGTGCGGTGGCACGCACAGTTGCAGAAATGCCGGGCGTGCGGGTCGGTGCTGCCGAAATCCTCCTGGCAGCACACCTACGTTCTTCTTCTCGCCCCGTCTGCCCCACCCAGCCCCTCCTTACACCCAACGGCCTGACGCCACCGTCCTCCGCATCGCCATTT